TTCTTGGTTTGAATGGTTAAAGTGGGGTAATGATCAAGTGAAGGGACTAAAAGATGCTCTGTGGGTCACTGCGACTCTAGCTGTTCATCCTTCATTAGTTTATGGTGTGTTGAGATTCAAGCGTTTCTATGCCAAGATGCCAAGTGGGAAGAGAGAATGAGAAAGCATTTCTGTGATGTTCCTTTAGTGAATGCAAACACAAGTATTCAAGACTACTTAAATACACAACTTAGATTTATTCACTTCACTGGCACAGCATTATAGTACTTGTTGTAGAAGCATTGTCATCAAATGTACCAAACTCTCTGAGGCACTTTGACAGTGCATAATCAGCAGTGGACAACACTCTCTCAATTCAAAATTTTGTATAACCTAAGTGATTTAAACTCTACCCCACCAATTCAAAATCTCCTTAAATGCCATAATCCAGCCCTTTCTGCTAGAAATTAGTTTTGTATAGACTGTATTTGTTTTCCCAATTTTTTGGCAGGGAAATACAGTTACCACTGCGAAAATATTTATGTACAGGGAGGTGGTTGCACCGTGTGCTGTGTGGTTATGTTTGGGGTTGCACAAGCACTTTGGTTAAAGTAAGGAAAGATCATAGGTTTGTTTAAAAGTTAACGAAATTAAGTCGTCTTATCCTCCAAGATCAGAATGTTTCCCTTTCCTGAATCAAGTACTGTGAGTGCTTAAACATAACCATAAAAAAGTTTATCCTTTATTTTCTATTAGTGGATATTATTTGATACTGGTGAAAATGATGATTCATAAATTAATATTGACTCATTATGATACTAAAAAACATACTCAGGTTTGCAATATATTTCAGTCCAAACATACAGTATTTGGCGTTGCAAATTAATACTATACAGTATAAACATAACTGCTAAGAGACAGGGCTGCACAGTAATGACTAGTTGTCTAATGATGGAAATACCAGAATACTAATCAGCTACTGCTACAGTTCATGGGAACACATTCATACTTTTTTTAATTTTTTTTACTTCCTGCTAACAAAGCCGCTTAAGTTTATCTCTACCAATGGGTTGTTCTCAACAACAGATGCAGTGACCAGTTACAGTATTTATTATGAGCATGTGGACCTTCAGCCCGACACTGCCGCTGGATGAAGATGTGACTCATTACAGAAAAGTGAATGGCATTTCTAGGTCAGGCCTGGATATTTGACTGCTGCTCAGCAGGTTTTTTTGTAATTGAGTGCACATGTGTGTGCAAATTTATACCACCAACTACATTGTCAAGTTTGTGGATGACATGACTGTAGTTGGCCTCATTACCAACAACGATGAGGCCAACTACAGGACTGAGGTGTGCCAACTGGTCCAGTAGTGTAAGGACAGCAACATCTTTCTCAATGTGGGGAAGACTAAAGAGATTGTTGTGGACTTCAGGAGACATCTCTAAAGCATCCCCCACTGACCATCGACAGTGCTGTAGTAGAGAGTGGGCAGTACCAAGTTCCTGGGGGTGCACTGTGGTAGGGAGGTTGTACTGCCTCCTGCAGAAGGACCCTGCAACGCATAGTGAAAACAGCCAGCAAGACCATCGGTGCTCCTCTGCCTTCCTTTACAGTCTAGAGCTGTAATTCTTAGCCCAAACCCGACTCGACCGTCGGGTAGCTTCATCCACCAGGCTTTGAGGATGCTGAATGCTGTTCATTATCTCCCCCCCCTGGACCCTAACCCACCACAGAGACAAAAAAAACTACCTTAAATCAGTAAGGGGGCAAATACTTTTTTCACACCACTGATATCCAGCGCACCCCTTCAGCGCTCTACAGTAGGCACGTGTTTTGCTCACATTGGTTGCAATGAAATGTTACTCGACGTGACAACACTTAAACTTTGTTACGACACATGCAATAAAACCTCTGCGAGTAAAGCCAATTAGAGTAATCTATCAAAACCCCACTAAACGGGCATAAACTTATCGAGAAGCGATCATTTCAGCATTGCCTGCCAGTTTAGATTTATCCTAATTACATCAATCCAGTTCTTATTCTATTCTATTTTTATTCTATTTTAGTTCCTAAATGTTATGGCAGCAAATACTAGGTGTGAGAGAAACGTATTTCTGTTTTCTGTATGTCCTGCATACGTATATGGTGAATTGACAATAAAATCCTTGAACCTTGAACATGTGTGTTTTATAGATGTTTGATGCATCAGTTTAGTCGCAGATCCCTCACTGTGGCTTCCAGCTGTTTCACTCAATGGAGGCGTATGTTCAACTTTAAGCTTGACATAATAATTTGAATCGTCATTTCTCTTCTTCTTGCTCCTTCAAGTTTTCAGTGTGTTCAATGTGTACTAAATGTTTTCATACATACTGTAGGTTGTCCACATTATCCGGACTCTCTAGCCATGAAAATGATGAATAGAATCAGTATTTAATATAAATATTTAATTGGAATGATGTTTACTTTACAAAATAAGCAGTTTACGTTACAGTTTTTTGTGTGCAGGTATGTCCAGCAATTTGCATTCTAAGATTCTGTTTTAAATGTATGCTTTATAATTAGGTACTTCTGGGCTTGGGACAAGGACTGAGACTATGTTTGTACAAGATTTTCAGAAACTTTTCTGCACTTCTCTGTGTTACTATGCGTTTGCTGTGGAGGAGTAATTGCAGGGCACAAAAGAAAGGAGGGAAGACAGCAGGGAAAAGGAAGAGAGGAGAAAATCTGGACAGTTAATGTGCAGTGTCATAGATGGGATGTCAGTGGATTTCTGCAGGCCAGTAAATGTTCTCAACCGGATTGTTCTTGTTAGTTTTGGGATACATGCCATCTTAAAGTCACTGAAAGCAGCAGTTACTTGAATGTAGCCATGTTGTGAGAGAGGGAGAACTATACTAAATTATTAAATTAAATTTTGTGGTTCCTTTGTGTGTGTGGGACGCCTTAAATTTAAAATGACATGTGATCATATAAAAATATCTTAATATGACACAAGATTAGCATAATCTTTTTACATATTCTAAAGCTGACTGATATGTCCCATTGTCATTTATTTTATGTTGTTAAGAGTAGAGGTTTTCTGCATGATCCTTCAGGGACTGAAACTGCAAGTTTATTGCCAGTGTGACTTTAGCATTAATGTAATACCTTCATTGTTTTGATGTTGTTGTGCTGTTGAGTCTCAGATACACTTTGACAGCAGAACATATCCAGTGTTCCAATGTCAGCTTTGATCCTTTCTGTGTGACGCTTACATGTTATCTGCCTACTTCTTTGAATTTTCTCCGGGTCGCGTTTTCCCTCCCACACTCCACCCACATGTGAGCCAGGTGGACTGGAGATTATGTGTGAATATGATTTTCTGTGTGCTAGCCCACTCTGCAGAGGGCTGATGATCTGTCCAGGATGTTCACCAGTGCATTCTGGGATAGGCTGCTGCACCAGATAGAGATTCGTGCAGCTTGTTTTTCCACCTTATGTTTTGTATATCTGACAGTTGAAGACTGCGCTACGTGTCTATTTTAAGCGTAGGAGGTTTTTGCACGGTTCCTTCTTCCTGACAGCTTTATCTGACGTTTTTAACATGGCAAGACTCCAGATAATAGGTCGGGTGTGTAGATGAGGTGATTGTGACTAACTGGTAAACCTGGAAATGTCTTTGGAAAGTTTTGAGGTGACAATGTTGTGCTGGAAACATTGGACTGACAGAACAATAACATGACAGTTTATGATTTCAATCTAAATTTAATACCTTTTCCACCAACAGCTCAGTTAAAAATATAACACATCAGTGTATTATCATAGTATGAGAACCATGTGAATCTGTGCTTACAATAACACTGAAAGTAAGGTTCTGGGGTGACTGTGATATCCAGTGACCTACTGTATACTGAATGTAACAGTAGTGTTTTTATAGTAATGATTTCCCATTTTAGAGATAAATGATACTTACAAAAGCTTAACAGTGCTTCTAGTTTTACTCAGTACTGTGTTTGGAATTTGCAAAGTGCAGGCATGTTCATGTTCTTCAGTCTTGTACTGGAAAGTGCAGCACAGACTGATGTCATATGTTTGTTTTGTTATGTTAACTAGCATCGGAATTAACCTCTGTATTAGAGGAAGCCAAAGAGTGCCTCTGAATGAAGAGCTGAGCCGACTCCTGCGACAGTGTAACAAATGAGCGTTGTGAAATCTTGTCCTGGTGGCAAGCAGCCTACTAGGTGTCAGAGTTGGTGGCGCAGCTGAATAAAAGCCTAGTGTAATTTCTTATCACAACATTCTGCGTGAGTATCAAGCTGCTGAGGCTGATGTACTGTAGTTGTCAAGGGCTTCCAGTTGGAGACGTTGTAACTGTCACATCACAGTCTGCTAAGGTGCTAACATCTGACAGCAGGTACACAGTTGCGATCACGTGTTAGTGTCTGAAATGCAAAGCGCACTCCTCCCATGTCAAGCCCAATCCTGCCACTGCCAACCTCTCTCACCGCTCCCCTTCCTTCAAATGTCCCTACTTTCGTCCTGATAAGCAGACTTCATCCCAAACATATTATATCTATTCAGCCGGAGGGATTAAGCATAGATGCATGCCATTTTGGGCAATTCCAAGGACCTGAGTCAATGTGCAAACAACTCCTACGCTATGTCAAGGAAATATTTATCTTTGCTCATAGAACTTCTTGAGATAGTGTCAACACTGCTTAGAGACACAATTACATTTGTAGATGGAAAACTAAGAGTCCTCGTGGAAATACAAGTGTATAATATGAGCAAAGCTGAGAATGATACACCACTATCCTACTAATAAAAATGACAAGCCAAGTTTGTATTAAATGAAAATCCCATGTTTGATCATGTATCATGATGTCTCCTTGTTTTGACTCCAAATTAAATTTTTAAATAATCATTTATTCAACTTACTGAGGTGATTAGGAGAGTAAAATTTATACAAAAGATGAGTTAATGATTACAGCTGGTGGTAATGTGTTTTTTTTTCCTCTCTCCCTCTGTTTTTTCTCAGTAACCACAACACTATCTACAGGCTCAGGCCACACCAGAAGATGCAACGACACAGAGAAGGCCTACTGTGTGAATGGCGGCGACTGTTACTTCATAGAGGGTGTAAATCAGCTCTCCTGCAAGTGAGTGATCTCCTCTGTTTACAGATTCACTTCGAATGCTGAGTTTTCTTTGTCAACCATTCCTCTTTTAGAGCGTTTTTGTCCCCCAGTTTAAATGAAACCCCATTTTATGAAGTCTATAATATTTCTACCTACATTTTTTTTTGTCCTGCTGCTTGTTTTCTGATAGCACTTGATTCCCTTTTTTTTTCAGCAGCAGCAGCACATCACAGGAAAAAGCTGCCAGTCGGCCTAACTACCCACCTGTTGTGTATTTTAACACAAATAATGGTGTGAGGCAGTAGTGTGCTCATCCTTTTAAGCCATGTTTAGTGTATAGTAGGGCTGCACATTAAAAGCCCTTTCAAAATGTCATCAGGCACTACTTTAGTAGTGAGCAAATATTTATGCGTGTTAGAGGCCCCCAATGAGGTCAACTGAATCACTGCTTACATTTGAGGTTCTTGGAAGAAGGGATCAAGACCCATGTGTAAAGTGTGCTGGAGAAACCATGGATCTCTGCTTTTCAGGAAGAAAACAGATTGGCATTATCACAGAAACAACCTTTTTTTCATCTTCGACATTTAACTTTTAGTTTGTGTTAGACTCAAATAAGCCATTTTCTTTCTTGTTTTTCTTTCAAATTTTTTATGTTTACAGCTGCAACAATTAGCCAATTCATTGATTAGTCAATCTTAAGAAAATTTACCAGCATATGTTTCAATCACCTATGAGTAAATACTAATTACTAAGTAATACTAATCAAAAATCCAAATGTTTGTTACTTTCACCGTCTTTCATATTAAACTGATTATCTTTGGGCTGCAGGGTCAGCAAAACAAGCATTGTGAATATGCCAGCCTTTGCATTAAGATATTTTTCTTTAATATTTATGGACATTTTATGAAGTGAAAGATTTATGAAGTAATCAAAAAACAATAAACAGTATAACTGATAGCAGCCTGAATCCGTATAATACCACTTCAAGTAACCAGTAAAACCTAATAGTACAGCACAAAATAATTAATAAACATCTTATTCCTTGTGATGGCTGTCAAATATTACTGTATGTTGCATGTTCTGTTGGAGCATACAGTATGTCAACACAGAGTAAGTACTTTGGCTGGTTTGATTTAGGGCACAGGCCCAAGGAAGAATGCTCGACAAGCAGCGAGGACGTGGCTGCAACAGCCGGTCAATACACTGTGTACAAATTGGAGGCAACAATAACTCAATTGCTGCAACTAATTCACTCACGGCTGGAGCATGGGTTCAGAAAAGTTGGATAATGCAGTGAAGGCCTGGAGGGATTTCTTGCCCTGCAGCCATTTCATTTAATATAGGCCAGGCTTCAGGTATTACTCACTGGCTAAACTAGTTCTGCAGACAGCTAGCCTACTTTTATGCCCAACTCCTTTACTTTTCAGGTAGAAACTTTGTTTTGGGGGAAAGGAACAGTTAATAAATGACCCAAAGTAAGTAACTCACTAAAGTAAGCATATTTTTCCAGTGATTTAAGACATAAATAAGCAAAAAAATGGAATTTAGCTTCTTTTAACAGTCATGAATATATAGATAATTGTTTATATCAATTGTCCTTCTGAAAAAAGCAGAAAGAGAAAAAACAGAAAAGCCGCAATTTGATGAAACAGAAAACAGACAATAATTTGCCTAGCATAATTAAGAGATACTGTAGATTGACTAATTGATTAATTGACTAATCATTTCAGCTCTATAAAAATTGATTAAAAAATACACTAGCAGTCTTTATTGAAAAGGGAAAAAGACTTATCAAAGCATCTCTCTGTGATATTTACTGTAAGAAAGGAATGGGTTGTGTAAGTCCACTGTACAGTATATACAATATGGAAAATATTTTCAAGGACAGGTCCTGCTTCATGTCGTCTAACACATAGTAAACCTTTCTTTTTTTCTTCTAAAAGTTGCATTTATTTTTGTCAAAATAATGAATGATGGCAATAATGCCTTCCCCGTTATTTATTAAAGATAAAAGAATGACCACAGTGCAGTTATGTAGTGAAGTGCAGTTAAACACCATCAGTCAGGATGATTAATTTAATGCTGGCTGTTATGGTGCTCCTGGGAGGCCTTGTGTGAAACCAGTAAATCAAGAGCAATGACCTTTGTTGGATTGGTGGTCTAGTTGTGACTGTGAGTGGAATGTTGGTGCCCCTGAACGACCAACTGTTGATCCTAATGGGATTATAATGAGGAAATATGGTTTGGCCCAACACACTTAGTGGTGATACAGTAGTCTGTCTTCACTTACAAAAATATAAACCTCTGTGTCAGAAAACACGCCTTGACTCTGACTTATGTTTCTAAGTACAAGTAAACAAATTTGTCCAGTCATGTTTTTACACAGAGAAACAGCTACAAATTGAAAATATTTTTACTTTATTCTAGTCAAAATTAAAAATTCTGAATTTTGTTTCTTCCTAATTTGACTACCCTACCTAACTGTATTGCTCATAAAAAACATCATATTTGAAGCTTGCCCACAGATAACCAGGCTTGCAACAGGCACCAAGAGAAGAAACTGCATCACCTCTATTTCAGCTTTGCTGCACAGCCTTACCAGGATTGATTTATTGATCATGGGCAAAGCAGTGCATGGTTCTTCTCCAGCTACATTCCACTCTTACTCATGAATGTTGCTCTTCTCTGATCCCCATAATACAGACTAAGGTCAAAAAGAGAGAGGCACTGTTGGAGCCCCTGGAGCCTATAGAATACCTACTTTTTATATCAACATTGCCTTTCCCTGTCTTGTTGATTTTATTCGCTCTTGTTTTCCTTTTCTCTTTTTTGAATTTTTGAATGGTGAAACAGTTTGGTTGATAAGTGGGTTAACTTATCCCTCTTAAGTTGCTATCTAAGTATTGCTGTTATTAAGATTTCATTTGCAGTAGCAGTAATTTATTTTTAATGGGAATATGAACAAGAAACCGCAGTCATCACTGATGTTTTACTGTTTGATGTGTTAATGAATGCATTACCACTTGTCATCTGTGTTTTCTCTCTCTGTATTCATATGGCTTCTCTGTGACCTTTAACAACATGTGTGGAGGGATTATGACTCCATAACATTTACAGTGCACCTCACTTCCTGTGTTTTCTTTTCATACCACTTGTCCACTTCTTCCCAGATGTCAGCCTCCGTACTTTGGCCCACGATGCTTACAGAGCGAGCCACGGCGGTTGTCCATGCCCAATCCAAGTATGTTCATTTGATATGAGCAGCTGAGAACAGAGACACAGTTGTCACTGGAATACCTCTGTGGACACGCACTGCCCCTCTCCCCACCCCCACCTCAGTTCTCTTCCTCTTCTCCTCTTTCTCCTTCTCAGGTCAACACGCAATGAGCTGTGCATTACACCAAGCACACAGTGGTGTCGTCTATGGGAACACTCTGCTTCTGCTGTCTGTAGTTATGCTGTTGTTCTAATTCTATGTCTCTCTGCCTCTCTCCCACCCTCCCCCTCCCCCCTTCTCATTTTTTCTTGCAAATACTCTCCTTTTTCACTCCACCCTTGCCCTTTATCTCTCTCTCTGTTTTCTTTCTTACTCATCCACCACCCATCTCCTCCCTCTCTTTCTGTGGCTTTGTTTCTTTCCATCAGGTGTCCAAATGACTTTACTGGTGATCGCTGTCAAACCTACGTTATGGCCAGTTTCTACCGTATGTCAATTTCCTCCTCTGTCACTCTGTCAGACTGTCCTTGTGTTATGCATGCATGGTTGGTGTAGAGAAATTGTATTAATTTCTCGTCATTACCTAACAGTTGTGTCTGTGCCTCCTGTGATGACTCACTCACAAGCTGGCATTGTTCAGTTGAGTCAATTACTGTGCTTGGAGTGTATGTGATATTGTGTGCTCTTTTAACTTGTGGTGTTTTGCATGCGCGCTCTCACAGTATTGGCTGTTAGTAAGTTTGATAGCAACAAGTATCAGCAGGTGTGTTTAAGGTGCTTTGTAGAAGCTGATTTGCATGTAATGGTAAAACAATTCTGAAAGTAAAACCCTGCCTTTGATGCACTCACTAACAATGCTCATTTAGCAGTCCGCTGCCAACACAAGCATGTATGATCTTATAGCTGATCCATGGATGGAAAGCTAAACTTGAATAATTAGCATTAACTAATAGGCATGACAAATTACTTTTATTTTCTATATATATATATATATATTTATTTATAGTATTTACAGTTATATATTAGCAAACATGATGTCACTAAACACTCATTTAGGGCTCAACTAATTTAACTGGATTTGAAAAATAATTACAGATTTCCCAATGGTCCAATCATTTTTCAGTGGTGGAAGAAGTATTCACATCCTTTACTCTTAAGTAAAAGTAGCAATACAATAGTCCTGCTTTTAAAATGTTACTCAAGTAAAAGTGCAAAAGTATTAGCATCAAAATATACTTAAAGTACTAAAAGTAAAAGTAGTCATCATGCAGAATTGCACATTTAACATTAATATATATATCATATGATTTGATTGTAACTGTTGCAGCTCTTAAAGGGGGAGCTATTGAATTACTGCTAAGTAGAATGTGAATTTCCACTGGAGATCAATAAAGTCTAATGATTATACTGTAGTTTTTGTATTACACTGGTTCTAAAAAGCAATTAGTACCTAAGGTTATAAAATAAATGTAGTGGGATAAAAAAGTACAATATTTGCCTCTTAAATGTAGTGAAGTTGAATTATGAAGTAGCATAAAATCAAAATACTCAAGTAAAGTACAGATACCTTAACATTGTACTTAAGTCCAGTACTTGAGTAAATGTACTTATTGTAGTTATATTCCACCACAGTCATTTACAACAAATATTCTACATTCTCACTCCTTGATTTGCAGCTGCACATATACAAGTGAGGCATCACTTCACTTCAGATGTGCCAAGCTGTTAAATAAGGGGAACTATTTTCACTTTCAATATTGCTTAAGACCTCTATTAGCCATTTTTTAGTAAATGCTGAACGAGTCTGCACCAGAGCATTCAGCAAATTCCATTTGCTGCTAGCACGCATTACTTCAGAAACAGCAACAAAATGGTGCTCTTACAGCAGATGTCCTTAGCATAGAGTTCACACGCTATACTAGATTGCCGTGTCAAACAGCTTTGCTAGCCTGGGGTAAATATATTTATTTATTTTATTTACAGTTATATATTAGCAAACATGATGTCACTAAACACTCATTTAGGGCTCAACTAATTTAACTGGATTTGAAAAATAATTACAGATTTCCCAATGGTCCAATCATTTTTCAGTGGTGGAAGAAGTATTCACATCCTTTACTCTTAAGTAAAAGTAGCAATACAATAGTCCTGCTTTTAAAATGTTACTCAAGTAAAAGTGCAAAAGTATTAGCATCAAAATATACTTAAAGTACTAAAAGTAAAAGTAGTCATCATGCAGAATTGCACATTTAACATTAATATATATATCATATGATTTGATTGTAACTGTTGCAGCTCTTAAAGGGGGAGCTATTGAATTACTGCTAAGTAGAATGTGTAGATTTCCACTGGAGATCAATAAAGTCTAATGATTATACTGTAGTTTTTGTATTACACTGGTTCTAAAAAGCAATTAGTACCTAAGGTTATAAAATAAATGTAGTGGGATAAAAAAAGTACAATATTTGCCTCTTAAATGTAGTGAAGTTGAATTATGAAGTAGCATAAAATCAAAATACTCAAGTAAAGTACAGATACCTTAACATTGTACTTAAGTCCAGTACTTGAGTAAATGTACTTATTGTAGTTATATTCCACCACAGTCATTTACAACAAATATTCTACATTCTCACTCCTTGATTTGCAGCTGCACATATACAAGTGAGGCATCACTTCACTTCAGATGTGCCAAGCTGTTAAATAAGGGGAACTATTTTCACTTTCAATATTGCTTAAGACCTCTATTAGCCATTTTTTAGTAAATGCTGAACGAGTCTGCACCAGAGCATTCAGCAAATTCCATTTGCTGCTAGCACGCATTACTTCAGAAACAGCAACAAAATGGTGCTCTTACAGCAGATGTCCTTAGCATAGAGTTCACACGCTATACTAGATTGCCGTGTCAAACAGCTTTGCTAGCCTGGGGTAAGAGTAGTCCACCCAGCACCACTCCACACAACAACATCAGCAACCACATCTATCAGTTCCAGAGTTACACCAATATTGGGTGGAGGTTTGCGGGGAACTGTGGCTTGATAGAGCTTGCCCTAAAGGCGTTTTGCTTTGAAAACATCTGCGTGGTCTGGAATCATGCTTCTTTAGATTTTCAACTTGTTACTGCAGTCTTTATTGTTTACACGTCAGTGTTACCTGTCTGTTTATTACTGCTAAAGTAATTCAAGTCATAATGAAAGCAGTAAGTGACTTGACATTAATGAAACATAAACAACTGAGATTTCCTGTGGCTTGGACTTCCCTGAGGTAAACATATACAAGCTAAAAGGTACTGTATAATAATATAGAATTAAATGCAAAGCCTGTAATTCATGTCAGATAATAGCAAAGAATCTCCTGCTATCTTACTGCATATGTCAGCATCATGTAAAGACAAGTCCAAGTGGTTACAATTCAGTGTACGTTTACACCTAGAAAAACAAAACTAACGGCATCTGCTTTTGGAATTGCCTGATGCTGCCTACAGTCCAGTAGCCTTGCAGAGCTTATGCATACTGTTTGTTGTATATTGGCTCAGAGTACAATGCGAAAGCCCACTTCTTCACTACAAGTAATTTCATCTCACATTAAGTCCTAATGCACTGTGCTGAAATCACTTATTTTTTTGGCAGAGTAGACAATGTTGTGTGGGAGCTCTCTTTCCTGCAGTCACTCACTTTTAACTTCAGTGCAGCTGTGCGACTGCATTAAGGACAGTGTTTCTTTCCAGTTCTCCTTCAGCCACTTGAACACAAACCAAACTTTGAGAAGAGCTATATTAGTAGGCTTAAAAAAAGAAGATAGGGTTAAAAGAAACCAAACACTGGGACAAGATGCAGTCATACTTGTTAACATGCACACCACAAAAAAAAGTGTTCTTGGCCCCAAACCCTACTATCAAGGGAAGAACTTGCATGTAGAATTTGCAATATTATATTTTCGGCATCACCTCTAAACTTATTTTAAACACAGAAGAGTAAACCTCCACCTTCTCCGTGTAAGATGTAATGCTATTTTTCTACATATTGCTATTAACCTGTCAAATCGACATTCAGACATGATAGATGTAGTGGATCCAGGTTATAAAGTACACATTGCAGCTTCGCGGTTTGGTTTTTGGAAAGCTACTGTACATATGGCTTCTTGCATAGTTTATGTTTTCTAGTCTCAATTAAGGAGAATAAATCAAATTTTCTCTCAAAAAGCAGGCACGTGTGTGCACACCCACACATCCACTCCATACTAAAAGCTCCTCCTCCTGAATGGGTGCCTCCCATTCTCAGGAGATACCAAATTAAAGGAGGATGGCTTATGCTGCTCAGCCATAAGGGCTTGGCTTAACAAGAGCATGTTGTCATAAGAACAGCTGGGGCTCGCTTTAACCTGAGTAAAACAAGTGAGCTACTAGAGATATGGTCTTAGCTGGTTGGTGCAGCCTCCCTATGGCCTCACTCTGACATATAATGTAAAATCCAGCTACAATTCTTTTAATTCAGTGAGATTAGTCTGATGCTGCACAGTTACAATCCTTGTAACTTGCCTGTTCATGTGATGGGTGTGTTTAGAAGGCAGAAAACTGAAACCACAGGTAATCTCAGCAGATGACGCATATGTCCCCATAGAGTAGTAATGAGAGTGGCTATGTGCCCAATATCTCATGAGGAGATTTTGTTTGGTTATGTAATGAAATAGTGCTTGGTAAAGTTTTTTTATATGGATCCACTACTTCACAATATTTCTTGAGTTCCCTGTAAAGAACCGTGTAGTTTGGTACTAATTGCAAAAGCAACAAAGATACTGGACTGTGTTGAGACATGCAGTAGATAGATGTTTCAGAGGAACATCCAGAGACAAACTTGTGAAATGTTGTAGTTTGATTAATCCATATTAGTCATAAAAATAAAATAATAGTATTAAAATTGTAGTTTTGTAGTCATGTAAACTAATAGTGAGTTGAATTGCGTGTTGCATGCTCTGAGTCTTTGACATTACTGACCGTGTTGTTTTGACTGACAAGTGTTTTGTGCCTCAGTTGCTGTAATGCAAATTTTTGTTTGCTCCACTATATGTTAGAAAGTGCCACTCTCTTAATATGGTCTTTTGTTTCTTTTTTTCTTCCAACTGTCATCCCTCTGCAATGGCAGAGCATCTTGGGATTGAATTTATGGGTATGGAACAATCCATTTTGATTCTCAGACCTAGCGTAGCTACTAAATAGACGTCCTTCATTTTCACATGTTCCTATTCCCTCTGTGGTGTGAACTGTAAAGCATATTGTCCCTCAATTAACCAATCAATCTCTTGAGCCATCATACCATTACTCATTAGAATGACAAACCCTCGGTCAATGCAACTGATCCTTCATCAGACATCATTAACACGGATGTAATGACCTGCACCTCTCATACGCATTTATAGTTACAACCATTAACTGAGTTTAACAGAGCATATTTTCTCTTTCAGACTGACTTTTAGTTCCTCATTCCATCTATAACAAGCATGATGTATCATGTTTGTGGATACCACATCTTTCCTCAATCTTCAACTCTGTCTAGCCAATCCTTTTAGTGTCTGTCTTTCCCTTTGATATGCCACCTCTTTCTTTTTATTTATGTGTGATCTTGTCCATGTTTCTTGCATCAGCCCATTGTTACTATTGCTGAAATATAGCTTTGAAGTGTAAAATATAATATTTGTACTCCTGTTCTGAAGTATCCTATAAAGAGTAGTTGCTGTGATGTGAGCATGCAATGCTATATTTAGAAACGACACTGATGATTTTCTTCTGTCTTCTACTGTTTCCATTCTCCTCTATTGTTAGATCTTGTTTTCTGCTGACTTTTCCAGAAAAGTGCTTTAGTGGTTGAGAATGTAAAATAAATTCCAGAGATGTGTTTTCAGAGATCACGTATTTATGTGCCAAGAGGACACTGTGTTGTTATAACTACACCATTATCATTTCCTCTGCTGAAAATTATTCATTATCAGGGGGTAACAAGCAATACTGGTAAATACTGTATTACACAGCTTGCAGCTATAAACAAACTGACTTAAGTGATTTATTTATGGTGTCGAAAACTTGACACAAATTAACGCGCTGAAGTCAAATGGCTGCTCGTGAATGAAAGGAGGAAGCCTTGGATGTAATGAGTTGTACAAATTCAATTTCTTTTTAATTACATTATTTATCATAGACCACACTACCTCTTTGGTCCATCTTTTTCCCTGGGGAAACACAGTGTACTTCAATGTCACACAAGCTCTTCTCTGGAAAAGCAAAAAGCATTATTTCTCCAGTTTCATATTTAGGGATATTTCATTTAAAAATGCTCTTGTTTCATAAATTGCTGCAATATAAGATCTTGTCATTGTGTTTATTAAATGCCTGAGTAGATGAAGACTTCTGCACCATTATAGACTTAGTTAGCAAAATTGAGAACTGTGTAGGATTATGTCACATATGTGCCCTGTTGCACCATGATGGCACCATAGAATTTCAGTTGCTTAGCTTTTTAGAGATTTCTTTTTCACTTAACAGACAGTATCAAATTATTGCTGAGGCCCTGCCCCCTCCTACTGTACACTGCCTTACTGCAGCACAGGGAGCAACGGCATCTGTTGTATTTGTGATTATGCGAGAGGAGATGTTCAACTGTGAAGTGAGTTGTCAGGGAAGAGAAGATGAAGCTTCATGCTGCTCAGGGTTTAGTCAAAAATAGAAAGAAATGTAAATGTGCAGTGAAAAAGTAGCACCTTCAAGAGACTTATTTTTTTCCCCTGTTATTTCTCTTGCTGTGTGCATGTGGCGTTTGTGTGTGTGTGTGTGTGTGTGTGTGTGTGTGTGTGTGGGCGCATCTGTGTATTTGTGGGTGTGATGTTGACAGAGGCAGAGGAACTCTACCAGAAAAGAGTGCTGACAATCACGGGTATTTGTGTGGCTCTGTTGGTGGTGGGCATCGTGTGTGTGGTTGCCTACTGTAAAACCAAGTAAGTCCTGCCTGTAAATGGATTAGCTCCTGTTGTTTTGAGCATGTTCTGTAGCCTTTCCTTTCAGATTTCTCTTACCATCTGCATTTTATTTAACTGTATACTCAGTGCTTGTAATATACCACATATTGTAGGTGGGGAATAATAGATTGCCGTGTTCACTGTCTTTTTATATTATCAGACATGTTTATAGGTGAAACAGCTAATCTGATTGTTATGTCAAAATATTGTTAAACCATTGCTTCTAGCTTCTTAACCACATAAATAAAAGAGATAATGACAGATATTTGGTCAACAGGAAACAAAGAAAGAAGATGCACAATCATCTGCGACAAAACATGTGTCCAGAACATCCCAATCGCAACCTGGCTAACGGACCCAATCACCCAGGACCAGGCCCAGAGGAAATCCCTATGGTAGATGTGAGTTGCTGAAATAATTACTAACATTATTAATGTATGCGCAAAAAGATGCTTAGTTATATGAGCAAACCTTGCCTTTTTCGTAATCTGCAATTTTTTTGTCAACACAGTACATATCAAAGAATATCCCTGCAACTGAACGAGTCATACGGCCTGCAACAGAGGGATCGTTCCCTGCCAGCCATGCCTCTTCCAGATCGCACAACACTTCCACACGAGCCCATTCATCAACTCACAGGTAAGCATGTACTGTGTGCTCCGTTAGGGTACATTCTGCACTGTGATATACAAACATGGAAGCACACACTAAGGGACTGATTCATTTGGTCAACTGGTTAAATACCCAGTCTAGAAAAAAGATACATCAGTTGTCAAGGTTCTTTGTGACAAAGGGATGAAAAAAGAATCACACTGTGACATACTGGGGTGTTTGCTTGTTAACACCTTTTTTACGTGTCAGACACGAGGAACGAACATGGAGCCTGGAGCACTCTGACAGCATCCTGTCCGACTCTCCGGCAATGCTGTCATCATCTGTGGGGACCAGTAAATGCAGCAGTCCTGCGTGCATGGAGGCACGGGCACGGCGAGCTGCACACTGTGGTTACTCTGACCATCGGCCGGGCCTACAGTGCAGGGACTCCTTTGATTCACTGGGAGACTCACCGCACAGCGACAGGTGGGAAACAGGCCTGCGTGTCTGATACAGTAACTGGGCATGTCAGGAACATTTTGAGAAGTTTCCTCTCTCTGCTGGTTCTCTCTCAGCCTCGAGAGACACACAGTGTGGAAACTGACACACAGCAGGCATGATGATGAAATGCGCTAAGGTAGGCAAGAGTGAGAAAAGGTATTTATTTCAATGGGAAGTCTGTGTATACAGCTACTGTACAATCCAGTAGCCAGTAGGGTGGTGTTAGGATCAGTGGAGATCTGGGGCTTAGCCCTGAAATCTATGAATCCATCAACAGTCGGAGCTAGTTTGAAAAATATTGCAATATAAATACTTTAATTGGTATATAAATACACATTATTGTTACTTCAAACACACTGTTAACAGTCAAAAACTGACTTTGCTTTTGTCTTCTGAACATTATTAGCTATAAAGGTACATTTTGTGGCTGAGCTAAGAAAGCACATTTATCCAGCAGCACTTGTTGATGACTGGGGTCCAGGAAAGGGGGTGAGTCCGGAGGTCTGCTGGTTGGACATGGACTGAGCAGGACAGCTGTGCATGCTGCCAGCTTCAAACACTTTAGTACTGCCTTTATCATCATTACCAAAAACAAGGCGGTGTCTGTTCCATCTTTCAGACTTCTGAAACGCTGTAATGTCCAGGACTTGCTTACTTTTGTTTTATAGTCAGTCTGTAGGTTTCTGTAGACACACAGTGTACATCCACAGAAAATGCACTGGCAACTGTAATAAAATGAAGTTATCAAAAAAGAGTGACCACTTAAATATTTCACAACTTAACTCTGAGCCTATACTTTTTCATGAAAGTTACTGATGTCTGTCTTTGTTAACCTTGTAACTGAAGGCTTTGTATTTAAGGTTTAAAAGGTTGTGCTATACATGAGGACATTCTGCCCTTTCCTTTGAGCTTGTAGCACCCACTCACCTTAGGTATGGGTCCTCAGAATTACTAGTAAACTCTCACACAGGTTTGTCATAGTAAATGATTGTGAAAGTGCAAAGACCAAGTATCCTCTTTTCTTAATGTGTGAAATGTGCACAAGTCACAGGCATGAAGTAAACTTTCATTTCACAAACCAGCTAGAACAGAGTGAAATTAAAAGCAAATCTATGCATAATGCTTCCGTTTATTGAAAAAGGTGTGCAGTTCAGACGCATCCACTGGATCAGTGTGCACAGTGACCTGATCATCTGTAGCAAAGGTGCAAATGGATACTCCAACTGGTGCCCATCTGCCTTTTGGCTGAACAAGATTCCATTAAATGCACAAGTACATAACATTCTTGCCTAAGAAAGGCACACTTAGGACCAGATGATACGTTAATAGAACAGATTTGAACTACATTTATACTCCCTGATTCATTGCTTGCTTTTTCTGCAAAATACACATTTGACCTGTTTAACCAGTGCATGTCCAGCTTCAGTCATACTTTAACAGCTGAGCTAAATTGAAAGTAACGTAGCAGACAGGTTCCTAAAGTCTTATGTTGCTTTATCACATGTATCTGTAAAATATTTTAAAAATCCTAGAAGTGATTACATGACTGAGTGGCCTACACCAGCTACTGGCTGCACCCAAAACTCAAATATGATATGAATCACAAACCTGAAAAAGAAATCGGTCCACTGTGTACGCTTTTGTCTAGAACTCTGAATCAATGGTATCTACAGCAAATAACCAGTGCCTTAAAGCTGTCAAAAACAGCTAAGCAGACAAGATATGTCTTGCCTTTTAGGTGCTTGAGTTCTTAAGATATCAGCCATGCCAAGCATGTGTGCCTTGGCAACTGAGTTGTTATGCAGAGCCAAACTGAATAGCCAGCATCCCCCTATAGAGTCATCTCAGGCAAAGAACACCTCTTCCATCATGGCGACAGCTTTTGCATCAGATGAATCAGCACTGTTGTGGCAATATCTCAGGTTTTCCTAAAAGGCAATAAATGGATGCTCCAAATAATTTTATCCACAATGATTCACCATCAGTGATATGTAAATTATAAATTACCTTCCAAATGTATTGACATTAGTGTTTTCTTGGTTTATGACTGTGGTGTTAAAACTGTAGAAAAACGTGTGTCCAACATCTGTGATGATGCCGATAGGTTTCTAATGTTTTGACAGTCAAGATGTTCCAAATTTGGGCAAATATTGTTTGAGTTTACTACAGTGCTACAATACTGTAGCACTGTAGGACATGGGACTTGTTGGACTGGTTGGTGCAGCCCAGGGGTGCTAAGGAAGACAGCTTAGTCACCGTCAGTCTTCAGGATATACTGAAGGGCAGACAAAACAGCTGCTGAGGACCTCAGGCAGCAGCAGCAGCAGCAGTGACAATCAGTGCACAGCTTCTTTGTACAGCTGGGAATCACTTCAGAAGATTGATACTGCTCTGCCTTCAGCACTGAAATAGGTGCAGGATCAAGGTATAGCTTTGGAGATGTTGATAGAAACATTTCCTCACTTTTACAGATTCTTAGGAAAATGAGTTTTTCCCCTGTAGATTTGTATTTAGATTTTTTTTTAACCTTCACTCCAACTCTTGCCACTTGTGTCTTGTGATGCTTGACCCCAGCCTTATCTTAACCCTAATCAGTTATGTCTGCCTACTCTCAATGTTTGGGATCTAATGTTTACCATATTAGTATATCCAGGAATATTAGCAAACTAAGTGGATCCTGCATAGATCCTTGAGGAACACCACAGAACACATTTGCCAGTGGTGATGTTTACTTCCCATTAGCAACCTTTCAGTTCTGCAGACAAAAAGAAAGTCAGTCTTGAGCAGTTCCACCAACAATAGTACATTAGATTCTGAACTTCACAGGATTTCTGAAACACACTTTTTCCAAGTCATTTCAATTTGGGCCAACTGCCTCAATACTATGAAAGAACTTTCTTTCATTAGATTTTATGGAGATTTTCTCAGATAGATCATGAAAGTTTTGTACTGTATGCCAGAGATGGGGAAGCATGAAAATATGTCAGTGGTTAGAAAATATTGTAAAAAGTACAGCCACTATGGCCAGTGTGCAACCTACTGTGCCTTACACCAGTTCAGCTTAAGTGAAAGCCTAAACTATGTAAAAACATACAATATGTAAACCATATATATATATACACATACATACGGTATATATTTTTCTCATTGAGCATTTAAGTGTTTTGAAACAGCTTACCAACAACTTGGCACTTAAGGTGCAACACTCATTCATTCAGCTGACAGAATGCCTACGAAACATTCAAACTGCTTTTCGTACACTCGTCTTTCTCTCTTCTGTTCTTTGTCATTCTCTGTGTAACTATTTCCTTCCCTCTGTTTTTACCTCAGATATGTCTCAGCCCTGACGACACCAGCCCGCCTTTCACCGGTGGATTTCCATTACTCATTGCCCCAGCAGGTGCCTACCTTCCAGATCACATCCCCCAATGCCAGCCATGCCATGTCTCTTCCTCCTGCTGTCCACAATCCCTACTCTCTGGAGGATGACCAGCCTCTGTTGCGCCGCTACCAGGTGCCCCTGCACGATGCCCAGTGCCAGGAGCCCTACCGGCAGCAGCGTCGTACCTATCTAAATGACAGCAGAGGCAGTCTGCCCTCCAGCCCCTACCGGCTGGCTGAGGATGACGACTATGAGACCACCCAAGAGTATCTCTCCTCTCGGGAGCAACCAAAGAGAAGTGGGTCCAGTGGAACTGGTAGCCGGCGCTGGCGGAGATCCAGACTGAATGGCCATGTGGCCCCACGTGGATATGAAGCGTCTCGGGACTACGGGTCTCGCAGCTGCCTAACAGATAGTGAGTCAGATGAGGATGGTGAGAGCACACCCTTTCTCAGTATGCAGAACATGAATGCAGAGACCTCGACCATCTACAGGCCGGCAGACAGTCGGACTTCTCACTCATCAGGGCGGCACGGTGGGCATGGGAACATGCATACAAGACTTACACACTCTCGCTCCAAACCGGACAATACACCCCACTAAAGAGTGAAAATGAACCAACAAAATTCAATATAGTATAGACCTGCATCTATAAGAAATATTTTTATTTTATATAACTGACAGATATTCTAAACAAATGAAATATTTATTTTCATTTTAGCAAAAGTTGTCTACTAGTTATCAGCAAAGACTTTTTATAGGGAACACTCTATTTATATGTACATTTTGAGTTACAGCATAAAAAGATGTGCCAGTTTTTTCACAACATAAAAAATAGAGTAATATTGTGGTGCCTTTTGCTGTATGCTGATGCCAGAGGGCCAGTGGAGGTTTTTGTAGCCTTTCTTATATGGACGCCTCATTTTTTATACACCTTTTATGTTTTATGTTCCTCTCTGGTTTTTTTGTTGTTTTTTTTCAAGTTGCATACTTTGAGGAGTTTAGTCCTACTGGAACATAACCCCTTCCATATCACGCAATATAAACCACTTCAACATAAAGTGTATGTTTACATTAATATAATTCGCCTGTAGGGTTTATGATTTGGGATCTACAGTAACAGAACGCCTGATAAATACAATGTAAATCCTTTTTGCCCTCTGACTAATGTCCACTAAGAGAGAGAATGAGTGAGTGACAGAGAGCGAGAGATTGTGTGTGTGTGTGTGTGTGTGTGTGTGTGTGCGTGTGTGTCTGTGCGTGCATGTCAGTTTGCTTGCATGTATTTTTGATTGTTAGATGAATTTCGCGGTTGTGGTAACATCAAACGTGCAGGTCTACTGGTGTTTCAGCAGAGCTGACATAAGAGTGTCTAAGAGGTGCACAGAATAGTACTTTTTCAGAACAGTGACCCCCAGTGTAGGTGGACAGGTAAGGTTGTAAGTTATGCAGGTCATTGCTTGATGTGTTTACAGCTATTCTGTCCCTTTCCCAGCCTGCCCCAGTTACATCCCAGTCATCAGAGGTGGTGGCAAAAAGAAGATTGTATCTGTTTTCATCCGCCTCTGCTCCTAATCCCATATCCCGTCATCCTTCTGTGTCCATTCTGTTTTTGCGGCTGATGTTAAAAGCCGCACAGTGTCTCAGGATTTCCACATGCACCCCCTCCCCCTCCACCTTAAACCCTCTTCACCCTCTTCCTAAACTTAAGGTCTACCTAAGACTAAGGTTCTCAGATGTTGAGGGCCTAAATGTTAACACACAGTCTACCGATTCCCTGAACACCCCCATACAGACAGAGAAGGAAGTGGAAGCAGTTCAGTGGGGAACAGTGCAGAACATACTAGACAATATAAATTAAATAGCTGTGAAACTTTGGAGGATCATACAATGCAAAAATATGCAAACTTTATATTTTGCTGTTTGATTACATCATTTTCTAAGCAATGACTGTAGTGTGTTGTGTGTGAAAAAACTATGTGATGCATATAGTGTATAATGAATTAATATGATATAAATGCATATTTACAGTACATGAGTTATTTTTTAAAGCCATTATACAGCCATTTATCAAGTCTTCAGCCTTTCTTGTTTACATACTCATGTTCACTGAATGACTGTGTCATATATTATTTTATCACTTGGTTTAGACTGCTCCATTTTATGTGCACACTTCTAAGTAAATACAGTAGCATCCAAATAGCGTCTCCGCCAGTAGTACTGTGTACTGCTTTGTCTTGTCGACAGATCTAGTCATTTCAAATTTAGTTAATAAATGACAATAATTTTAAAAGTAAACTAAATAATTTAAGCCTTCTGTCCTCCACCGAAGTCAAAGTGAGTACTCAATCGAGAAATGTCGAACACATGACAAGCGACTCAGTGAGAGAAGACAGCTGATGAGGTTTTATCACTTGGTGTGGTTCCTTTTCATTTAAAACAACAACTGAATGCTGAATGATCAGATGATGATTGGTTGAAAATATTCTTAATAAGACTGATCTGCGATTCTATCTGCTTTATGGTAAATACACAGTGGTATTATTGAGAACGGTCTTTGGTCACACCTCACTTGCAGATGTTTCATTAAGTTTCTCACCTCTGGGTCTAATTTTGTATGCAAAAGAAGACTGTGCTCCTCTACTTTAAATGTGGTACTCCCTTCACTTTGCCAGTCCTTTCACACAATTGAGATGCTACCAGGCACCTCCTGCAAGTCTCCTCTGTTTAATTTTATGACTCCCCACCCTCGCTTGAAATGTTTGAACATCTCTCCTTTGCATGTCCTTGTGGTCAAGGTTAGATGGGTGCATGGTTTCAAAAAAAAGAAGAAAAAAAGCAGCAGACAATTCTTTTCCAGTCAGTGAAAGTGTGTTTCATTTAACATTCAGCAATAAAAAAGAACCTTTCCCCATGTCATTCCTGAAATATGCTAGAAAAAAAAGAAAAAAATGCGAGATTGTCATAGATTGTAAAATAAAATGAAAAATGAATCCACCTGTTCATATGAGAAAATAAATCTTTATTCATATCATTTTATGATGTAGTTATTTTTGAAGAAATATATCTTTTTATTCTTGACTTAAGGATGAACTCATCTGACCTGATGCACATGATACACTTATAAAATGACTGTGAAATAAGATAATACCATTTTAGGTGGTACCTTTGCTCTCTGAAGTGACACATATAGAAATGCACATATCCCCCATGAGGGCTGAACATTGTAAAATTATATAACTGTCTTAAAGGAAGAAAAATAGGCGCAATCCACAAATTCAAAACTATCTTAGTTCACCAACTGTCAGCAGTTGTTTTCCTAAACAATCACTTCTCTGTCCTCCAGCATTATTATCCATTCTCAGATGGATGTAATTATGACCAGAGCTTATTAAAGGCCAAAGCGTTTTTGTAAAATAATCAAACATTTCCTATTGCATGTCCAAATAAAATCATCTAAGTGAACAAGCTCACAATCAATTGAATTGATTATATATTGTAAATGGGAAATGCAACTCAGTTTGTCTAGCACATTTTGAAGCCTTTAATAAAAAGGACAGTTATGATCTTAAGAAATACAGGTGAGGATTTTATGCTACATTTTAGCATATAATTTTTAAGTGTCCCTTTTTTTTTTTTATCATATTCAGATATTCCAGTGAGTGTGTGGTTTAGTTTAGTTGATGCATTAGCATGGATGCAACACTAGATGGTGGCACAACAGCAAGATTCATAAGTCAAATAACCAGGAGAGTTCACCTTTTGCAAAGTGTAGTTTGAATTGTATCCAGCTGTATTTCCCCATTTTATAGCCACACACCATATAGAAGAGTGGTGTTTATGGGAATAGTTGACAGTGCGACTGAGCTACAACTCTTGACTGGACATTTACTTTACTTCTGAATGCAGTTTTTGGATCCAAGCATCCATCATAGTAGCAAGTATGAAATATTACTACTGCCAAAATTGTTCCAGTTTAGTTCACACTTTTAGAAGAAGACAGTGACATTGAAGTAAAGTAGTGAGTTATGTAGTGTATTAGATATCATATTAAATGGTAAACATTTGCTGTTTTTTTTTTCCACCAAAATGTTTTTCTGGTCAATGTACTGACGACTGGGCAGTTTATTGACTGATGTATATTTGAGTGGAAATGTATCAAACACAATTTTTGTTTTATAAATTTTTTTTTTTTTTTTAAAGAAATTTTTTTTCTGTACAGCGGTGAGAGTCACATTTGGAGCTCGGTTGTCTCTAGAGAGAGCCATGTTAAATCCAGAGCATGAAACCAGGTGACCAAGGGAAAGCATAATTAACTCAATTTCAGAAATTGTTTTGGCAAAATCTGACACAATACAGTCTTTGTGAGTAAGTCTAGATCAGCAAAAAATCCAAACTGTTTCCTTTTATGAGATTCACAGAAAATTGAAGAGCATTCTACTCACTGAGTTTTTCCCACTTGTATTCAGTGATGCACATGATTCAGTTGGTTTATTAAACTACCAGCTGGGTTGTTTGTGAAACCCAGATATTTTATACTTAAATGGTGAGGGGCAGTTGGCCCTTATGTTTGGAACGCCACGTGAACACAGCGTAAAAAAAGTGAAATTAAAACAGGAGTGGTAGGTAGGATATCTGTGTAAAGTAACACTTTGTCCTCTGTGTATTTTATTGAGGAAAATTCAGGTTTGCTGACTAATTTATTTCGGATGTGTAGGATCATGTGCAGGCAGTGAATGACAGAGGAAAACAGTGTCGTCTTCCTCAGCAGTTGCTGTTGCTTTTCTGTCTTCCACTGGGTGGCGCTGTTTGCACAGTATTCAAACAAACCCTTGATTTGTTTTGTTTGTCCTGGCCGAGCAGGTTCTTCAGCTGACTTCAGCTTTAGTGTATTTACCTAAAGAATGACTCAGTTCATTTAAAAAGTTGCTCATAAAAAATCATGCTGGGCATTTGGGTTCAACAAACAGTAAAAAAAAGAAAGACACCTAACAGACAAAAACGAATAAGTGTTGATTTTAAAGAAAAAACATTTTTGCTCACAAATGCAAAGTTGTATATGAAGTAATGAGTTATAAAATCAAAACAGAAAGCATAGAAAGCCTTTAACATGCAGAAGACTTTAATGTAGAAGCATTGTTTTTATTGTAGATAGAATATTTAAAATATAAAGTAAAACAAAAGTCCTCAAACAAACATGGGTCTGATTGTTTCATTTCTCTGTATTGCCCTGTCTAAAAATTACATTTCAACTTAATTTTTACAGCAGTCATAAGACACACACAGAGAAAACTCTTTATGGAAATAGAAAAAAGACTGTTGAAAAGGTGCCCACTCTTTCATTAACCTGTCAGCAAAAAAATCTCGAGTACAATACAGGTGCCCTCAGGCAGCCGGCTTCAGGAGATTTGCCTTAGTGTCTTGCAAGGTTATTGCCTCCTTTGGTGACATTTTGGAGCTTTTCCCAGATCCCCTGTATTGAAAATAGAAATGCATCTGTTTTAGCTTTCTCTCAAATGTTTGTTTATTTGTGAGTAAATCGTCACAGTAGAGCTTTTCCGCGAATTTCTTTTCTCACTGTAAGTGTCAGACCTCCTGTGCACTCTTACTAAAATCAGTGTTTTTGATTTTGGGAAATGCATAAGACATAAGAAAAAGGACCAGACATCCTGACTCCTGGAGATCAAGCTTACCTTTCCTCTACATCTTGCATTGTGTCAGGAAGAGGTGAGCCAAGTGTTTCTGGAAGAAATAGTCCAGCCACCCCGCTGAGGATAGGAGCTCCTCCAAAGATTAACCCTGGCAGCCAAGGTACGTAGTCGCCCATGAGGAGCACCATAGGAGCCACCATGGCTCCTACGCGAGCCATCATAGATACCCAGCCCATGCCATTCTGACTGAAAGAGAAAGTGCAGCTATTAAATGCCAAAAACACAGAATAAAACCCATTCATTCAACGGATTCATCCAATGAAATCAGTAAATAAAGCACATACACTTTATGAAGTGTCTGTTTGAAGACGGCATCTGATCTGTAAAATTTAATTCACTATTCTGCTAAATGTAATTCACTATTTGAGTTTTATTAATGTTTTACTGCATTGAATCTGGTTACATGTAGAGTTCACAAGCACATATTCTCACGTGAGGGAAAGTCAATAAGTGTCCTAGTCCTTTGCGTTTCGGCCTCATAAAAGACTTAAAATTCTTGGTGAATGACCTGCTAAGGTTGTCTTCTAAATTGGTAAGTGTAAATAGTATTGCGGAGCATCACTAGTCTACTGCCAGTATATTCGTTTTAAGAATATGCAGTGGGTTACTGACGGAGAGACGTTCAGATAAGGAGCATGCTGTAATTTGCTGACGAGAGATTGCAGCCGAGAGACGCTCTTATCGTGGACATCAGCAGCTGCCGACAGGGGCTGACTGAGGAAGAGACGCTCGCAGTGTGCATTTGGTATGCCACAGTTTTAATAAAAAGGAGAAACCCCTTCCCCGGGTGAAACCTGAAAATTGATATTATGATGTAAAACAATAAGGACACAGGGATAACTTTGTTATTTTCCATATGTGTGGGTTGGCTTCCTACTTGTAGAATTTTTTCAGTGGACTTGTAGTGTATCAAACTCTTGAGTTTGAGAATTCCTACATTTTAACCACTATTCACAAGTAGTTCTGTCTCTGGGGCATTGGACTAGCAGCTTGGG